CGGAGGGGGGAGGGAGGGGCGAGGGGGGGGGGGAGGACGGAGGGAGGAGGGAGGGGCGAGGGGGAGAGGTGACACATCACAAGTGATTCACTGTATTCTCACAATTCATATTATTGTCAAAGGTGAATAGGCTTTTCGAGTCTCTGATTCCATATAGATAATGAGGAATTGAGACTCGGGGTATTCCCCAAACCAAGACACTCGTTCGGCCATAGTCACGCGGTAAATTGTGGGAAAAGCCAGACGATGACGCAATTTAGTTCATTTCGACCCCAAAACGATAAATTTTTAAAGTTCGGTTTGAGCGAGAAGGAGAGAAATCTCTTTCCCATCGAAAGGAATCCAGAATCTCAAAATGAATTGTCGGTGTAGCAGAATTTAGAGCCTTATCGGCCTCCTAATTGTTGGATTCCCGCGAGAAAACGAATGCGGTTTCAACGCCAGGTAATTTTCGGTCGAGCCGGTATTCGACACGCTTTGCATGTTTCGTTTCCTATGTTTCGTTTCCTATGTTTCGTTTCCTATGTTTCATTTCCTATGTTTCTTCCGGGACAAGGAGCGTGTGACAGGAGATGCTGGTGTGTAGACTCTCTTGAGAAATATAAACGTAATGCTTCAAGACAACCTTGTGAAATGGAAAATGAGGCACAGGGCAAGCAATGAGTCATAATTAGGACTGGGATTTTTTTTTAAAGCAGATGGACTTTTTTTCCGTTCCACTCTTACTCGTGGAGGATAAAGGTTTGAGGGTGAATCTTTATGCAAAATTGATGGTGCATATTTTCGCATATATTGACGAGATTGCATAAATATGCATATCTTCACCCGGGTATGACGAAAAACAAAGCAAATGGTCACTGCAATAACAAGACTTGCAATTTGTGTCACCACCCGCCCTCTCAAACTCGTCTGAGCGGATGGGTTCCATGCATTCTGCCTGGGGAGAGGCCTGAAACCCTGACTGACTTGTGAGCTTCCTTAGAGGTGGTTGGTTGTCAATTGCGGCAGTGAATCTGGGCTGACGTGAACGAAGAAAAGGGTGCTTTGCCGGGTCATACACGCATCATATTATCACCTTCATGCCTTTCAATGCGTGTATTTTTAGATATTGACTATGCATGCTTTGCTACTCTGTGGAGCACATTTCCGAGATTTCCAAGCATAAAAATCCAATCCCCAGTCATAATGATGCCAAAATGCACAAGATGCAATGAGGCGGATGTTGAAAATCATCCTTTATAGGTATTTGTCTTGGCTAAAACAGCATTTTGGCTCAAGCGGTCAAACATTCGCATGACGTTACACAGTGATGGTAACAAGGAAGCCTGTTTCCCCTATTTTTCTTAGCATATTCTACAGAGAAACAAATATGAAACCGTTCCATATGAACCATACCAGTCTGAAAGAGCATGTGAAGAATATGGCTCAATGTAAGCTGGAAGAAGCAAGATAATATAGGGAAATCGGCAGACGAGAACACGACTCGACAGAACAAAGAGAACGACCCACAAGCAGAGGATATCTCCAGAAAATAAGACATGCAAGACCATAAGACAAAAGGAGTTTTTAGGGTTGCACCATGTCCATTAATAATATGAATAAATTTATGTCGTCTTTCCCATGCAGGACTGCAAAAACGACAAAAAAGGTGATGATATGGATGCATGCAAGGATTTAAGGCTTCACAGAACAAAAGCAGACATCCAAAAGTCTTTAAAACTAAGCATATAAAAACAGTCATCTGTAAGCTCCTTCCACTTTCAACAGGCCTTATGCCTTTCAAAGTTTTTGGGGCTAAAGGCATAAAGGCAAGCTTGCATATAGAAAGAGAGAGATCTGTGAGCTTTAATAAGTCCAAGCCAGTTGAAAGAGGCTTCAGGCTTATTTATCAGCTTATTCCCAAATCAAAGCCCTGATGAAGGTCTTTTCATGTCTATAACTAGGAATTCAATCCAGGAACATCAATACATAACGAATAGCCTGCATAGGCTCGGATCCTCCTAACAACCAATGGATTGAGGGAAGACTGACTTCTTTGAAAGGCAAGAGTTGCAAGAAAGGAAGAACCAATTTAAACATTCTAAACCCAAGTTAAAGCAAGAAGAATGACAAAATGAAACCTTCAGACATCTGAAGAGGACCTCTGTTCAACTTCTTCACAATCCATTCTCGGTGATTCATGAGCGAAATCGTAAAGCCAATCTTACTTTCTTAGTTATGGGGCATTAAAGCCATAGCCTTTCTCTGAAACCTGGATAAAATATTGCTTCCCATGGAAGAGACCCTCAAGTCTTTTGACATTCATATGAAGACTGCATGGGTCTGAAGAGAGCTATTTACCAACCATGAGGACTACATATACCTAGTAATAATTTCTCTTTATAACTATTGTGGAAATTCCTTTGTTCATTGATTAACTTCCATATATAATCATGTCATAGTGAATCCAGTAACTCCATGAACATGACATGAACTGCAGTGATGTACACAGGATTTTTTGAAGGGAAGCTCAGTAGTATGGTGGTTGAGTGATGCATGGAGAAGTAGGTGCAGCAAGAACTTCGACCTCATAAAGATGGCAGTAGCCTCTTCACCCATCCCAAAATACTAGTCTGGCAGGTGGGATGGTTTCAAGTCCCCTGAAAATGCTACTGATAAGCAGTGATAGCACAATGAGATGTGAAAGAGTCAAAGTCAAGATTTCAGATTTCTTGCATCTCAACAATGTTTAAAATGAACCTATTGAATTTCAAACTGATACATAGTTTGTTTTCGGATATTCTTGCTTCCCTGAAATGAACACAAGAAAAAATATTAAAATTCAACATAATTCTCAGTGTTTCTATATCCTGGGTGCAACATGAGCCATTAAATTAATTATCATTTTAGCAGGCATTTCCAACAATTCCATACTGATATTTTTGGATTCATCAAAGGATTCCTTGGCTTTGAATCATAAAGTCTTATCCTCTAGGCCAGTGGTTCCCAACCTTTTCTTTGCTGCGACCCTAAATTGGTCACCAACGAACCTCCCAGCCCTCAGGCTTATGATGTAATTTAAATATGTACATAAATATGCATACATATACCAGTAAATATAATTATTTTAATTTTATTATATTGACCCTTTGTGACCCTACTGAGGACCCCCCATGACCTTGATTTGGGTTGTGACCCAAGGTTGGGAACCACTGCTCTAGGCAAACCCTAAGAAAGAAACAGCATAATGTGTGGGTTGGAGCAGGTCAGTCCATGATTGCTCTCCTCATCCTAAAACCAGGAAATTCATTATCTGACCATTCCCAGACATGGTGAACAAGTGGCATACTTACTTGAGAACATTTTTTTTATTATATTGCCTTCCACAGGAGCTGAAGCTGGGATTTAATTTGTGCATTGAAACAATTCAATATATTTTAAAGATCTCTTCACCATCTATATTGTCAAATTGGCATTTCCAATTCTGAAATCTAAGTTACTCTTCAAAACTTCATACCCTTATTTATGTGGAGTCAAAAACTTAATTTCCATGAAGAAAAAAGCCATGTATTCTTAAGGACACATTCTTGAGTGAAAAAATATACTGTATAATGCATTCATTCAAATAAGACAGGGAAATGGTTCCAAAGCATTTCAGACAAAAAAAATGACTTTCACTTCTGATGCAGATCACAGCCACTGACTATGATTATGAAAAGCTTCACCTTTCATGATAGAAAAGTGCAGAAGGCACAAATTCTGGACATTTGTTTGTGCAGCTTCCACAAAAAAACCATCACAGTTTTTGTGCACAAAATGAACTTGATTCTGAAGTGAAAAACAAAAAACCACACAAGATGCATTACAATGATGAATACAATTTAAGAAAAGGTAAATACAATTTCTGATCCACTATCATTTTTTTGGCTTTCTCCAACTTGAGGAATTGAATATGAGGACAGAGTAAAAATGCAGTTATCTTCACAATTACTTTTCTCAGAAATGTTTTTCTCTACATCAGAAGAGAGGTAACAAGGTAGACTTGGGGATCGGGGAACAATTTCATCACTGGTCTTAGTCATCAGTGTAAAACTTGGAAGGTCTAGTTCAACAGATTCTGCATCCATGCTGCCTTCAGCTTCTTCATTCAACTGAGGAGAAATGTTAGTCAGAGGTACTTTCTCCATAGAGGAGAAAATGGATGAGACTTTTTCATCCTTGCCATCTACTTGGAAAATCTCTGGCTGCTTCTTCACAAAAAAGGCATCCAGTGTGGCTTGTTTCCTCTTCTTGAACATTTCAGGAGACGGGGAACCTAGGTCATTGGGAGCAACTGATGCAAAATCCTTTGGAAGTGACATCTTCCACATCTTTTTTGCTCTGTGTTTTATCACCTTCACATTTTCAGTGATCTAAAGAAGAAAGAAGCACATTTAAATATCATTGACAAGGCAGCACTGAAAAGGAAATGAATATACTTTAATTATTAACACTACCTCTAAGTTAAAAGTGAAATCATTAGGTTATCCAAAGTCATGTGTGAATGACACACATTATACATTATATGATACATACCTTGTACATTATGATGAAAACATATTAGGCTTCAGTTTGTACCTTCAAGCAAGAACTTTTACTCAGTTCATGAAGTTATCAGTTCTGTTGCTCTGTGTTCTTTGTTCACATTTTATCTCAATAATTACTCATCATTTAAGAGGCACTGCATTGTGATACAATTGAAAACATGGCTTCACTGACCTTCCTTTGAGGATCCTTGGCACAAAGCCACTTGGAGGACATCTGACAGTCTCCAACAATCTCTTGGAATATGAATCACAAGCTATGAGATGCCCCTCACAGGACCCTTGTTCTCTCAGACAATTTGAGAAACAATCTCATTGACTTTCACCTGGGAATCCAAGAAACTAAGGCACTTGGAGGCTTTTTCACCTCAATATCACTAGCAGTCTCTTAGAACAAGTCTCACAAGCAAGCAATACAGGTTCTGATATTTCTTTCATGGATACTTGAAGCATGTCTCCACATGTACACAAGAAATGTTTAAAATCTTCATTATGGTCCTTAGAAACTTCAGCAATTTCAAATGCATGACTAAAGTTGTACAGTTCCTGCTCTCGAAGGATTTGATCATACACAGTTTTCACGTCAACATCACTCAGATGGCGATAAGCTTCCTGGATTTTCTGGAACTCATGGGTCTGCCCCCCCTTGTCAGGATGAAGTTTCAAGGCCAACTTTTGATATTGCTCCTTAACCCTTTCCACTGGAGCATATGGGGGCAAACTCAAGATGTCGTAGTATGTCATTGGGAGCAAACAATCAAAGGATGTTTTGATGTGCAAATGACAGTCACTTCTTATCCTTGCCAAAAGTGCCAGTCACTTCAACCTCCTGATGTACCTATTAAGCAACATTGAAAGTTTGTGCAAATTTTCCTTTTTTTCAAAGTATACCTTACCCAAATATAGGCAGCAGCACAGGATTGAGTTATTTCCTATAAATGAGTAAAGCCATGGAGTGGAGAGGAACATAGTTTAGTATGCCTATTGTCTGAAGGAAAAGGAGGCAGGAAGGGAGAAGAAGCAGACCACTCCCAATGGGAAGAATGATAATGGCAACATGTAGAAGGGAGAGGTAACATTTGATAAATAAGAGGAAGTAAAAACAGTCCCATGGGGAAGAAGAAGGATCATTCAATGAAGGGTCATAGAGGAGGGGATAAAGAAGCCAAATGACAATATCTTGAAGAACATGAAGGAAACTTGATGTGTAAACAGAGGGGAGAAAAAACCATAGGGGAAAATCAACCCAAGCATTAATTTCTCATTTTTTTGCTTTCTCATTCTGCTCATTCCTTGAGAGGTTCAATTATTGCTCCCTGAGCTCTTTATATTTCACAGGTTTCCACCAGAAGACTGAGCTGTTCACCACAACCCTCAGACTACAACATGCCAAGAAGTGGCTCATGCATGTCAAATTATCAGAAAATGGAGATGTTCACATGAAACAGAATCATATGCCTTTGCCATTTCCCAAGGCAATAATACCTCTTGGGCAGTACTCATTCAGAGCTTTTGTCCAGTCACTGCAACAAAGCTGAGTACAGAGTAACCCCTGAAGGACTCATGCTGCCTGCTGGTTGCTGTTACAAAATTGGATAGTAACCTCAAAATTCTTCAGCATTCAGACAAAAGGTCAACTTATCTGTAATTCTCAGGCAGGACTCTTACTAGTCTTGTTGTTTGAAATTTTTACTCCAAGAGATTAAAGAAGGGTAAAGGGAAAGGGAGGTTGGTTTCTCCCAGAGACTTTTCATCTTTTCATGTTCCCTTCAAAGGCCTTATATGCAAATGAGTATGTGAAAATTAAAAAATAAAGTTACATCACCAGCTCATTTTAAGGCTTACTGAAAAAAAGCAAAAGCAGATGGGGTAACAGACCTGGCCTTGACAAACAAAATGCGAATGTCTCCAATCATACTTTCCCTTCTCCCTGCTCAAATCAAATTCCTACCGTAGCCACAGCGTTTTTGAGCCTAACAGGATTTTAGTTGAATATTGCCTAAACCTCCGTACATAAGATGATCTCGAGGAGTTAAGGTTTGTCTTGATCACTCCTAGAATGTTAAGAGATTTCCCTATCTACAAGACCCTAGCAAAAATTATGCCTTGGCCTAACGTCAATGTTCGCCATACAACTCGCTACCCCTTTCCTTCCTTCTCCGGATGTTTACCCAGAAAAAAATATGTCTTAGTAAATAAATAAATAAAATGCGGTTTGCAGTTAGTGCTCCTTTCCCAGAGAATATACGTCCCCGGCTCTTGGCAGCCGCCATGTGCGACGAGGAGGGAAGGGAGCAGCATCTGTTGGCCAGATTCCCAAAATGTAGTTATGTCTGGATCTGTTTGATGTCGTTCACGAGCGGCAAGCAATCGTAGTAGATGGCTGTAATGATTATTGGCTCCATAACCGGATAATTTCACGAGGGGAAAAAATTTGCAAACCGAATCTGAAAACGTTTCGCGAATTAAATTTACATTTTGGGTTGAAAAATAAAAACGACAAAAAGCATTCAAAATGTAATTGTTAAAGTTACAAGATATATACGAAAGCAAACTGTTGCCGATACTTGTACTTGGAGAAAACAAAGAAGAAAATATGTTCCTCTGGCAAATTCTGTAAGTGATTAATATACTCATCTTTCAAATTTTTATGAAATTAACTTTCAGTAAGTGAATTGGGTGCAAAACATGAAAATATCTTAAGACAGATGAATGGAGAGACATTCAGCTCTCAGGTATGACTGACTCCACTTCGCTACGCCGAGAAATAACATCTATAGTACTTCGTTCGGCTTCCGGCAATCGACTTAGACATGCGACTCGTCCTAATGGCGTGGAGTGCGGGTATATACGAAGAGAACGTTCAGAATGCATTTTTTGCATAATTTTCCGTTGTACTGCCAAACGGCGTCAGTATTGCTTTATTTGCCAACTGGCAATGGTCAAACCATCGAAAAACTGCCCAAGAGCAGGAGTCAAAAACGTAAAAATTGAGAGGCAGTGTATCGAGTCATGCTTGAGGCCCTATTTCTCAAGGGGTTCGTCAAATACTTCGGTCCCTTGCAAGTGGCCAGGCGAGCAATCGACGTCGTTTAGCCTTGTCGTCGATGGGAAAAAATCACCCAGAATGTCACAAGTCCTATCCTGCTGTCGGATCGTGAGAGATTCACGTTTTATGCCAGCTTGACCATTTTCGTATGAGATTTATCGATTGCTTTGACCAGTTGTCGGAAGCAGACGGAAGCAATGCGTTTCACATTTCTCAGAGTAATGCAGAAAATTGGAAAACTTGTGACTCGAAAACGACGCGTCTCTCCGTGCAGCCGTTGCTCATTCACCGCGTCCCCTTCACAGTGTCTGTGAGGCCAGACAGTCCAGTCTGAGATCCGTACACCGTTCCTCGAAAATCTTCTGTCCACGTGAAAGTTCCGCACTCGCCTGACTAGCCTGAATCGGCTGATTCGAGATGGCGCCTAAGCCTTGAAAAGAATATTTGCTAACATCTGCTGATATTTGCTGGACCGCGTCATCAAAGCATCATCCTCTCGAAAGAGTTGAATGAGTGGTTAAAAAGCCGAACGTATCTGTTTCATATTTAGGCCTAACTGAAAGAGACACTACATGTAACCGTTGGGATGCGGTCGCATCAGACCATCTTGCCTGATTCTAACTATTAAGGAGGGAGTGTGGGTCTGTATCGGGATCGCGTCATGTTAGGTATCTGGTAATGTTCGATTTGCTTAACGCCGCGGTCCAAGAGCATACGCTTGATGGATTCAGAGTCGAGGATGCCCGAGTCACCTGCATTCTCGATAGAAACCAATCACTATGGTAACAGTGGGCAAAGCCGAGAGCCAACAGCGTAGCGAGAGCAAAAAGGAGCGATGAGGCCCCAGATCCCCCCCCCCCCCCCCAAAAAAAAAGGTCCTCACTTGAGGAAGTGCCAGGAGCCGAAGGCACTCTCCCGCTTCTCTCCGTTCCAATGCGCCATGAATCAAGAGAAAACGGCAAAGGTCGGTGGTTGACAGTTTCTTCTCGGCACACCGTGGAGCTCCAATCGCTGACCGACTGTCTTTCCGAAGACTTGGCACCGCATCCGCCGGGTCCACTTAAGGCCCACGGCGCTACACGAGTGTTTTTTTAATATTATTATCTTATTCTTTATTTGCAAGGGGAGACAGAGAAGCACCGAATCCATCCTTTCCGAGACGAATACGAGTTAGGAAATACAAAAATGAGATAAGTGGGGAACGGCGATGATTCGAACGAGTTATGGCACCACCTGGAACTTGGCGGAACCTTCGACAGATGCGTCTCATTCCAATAATTCTAAATAACCGTTCGCTTAAATTTTCGTCATCTCTTTGACTTGCACAAAAAAAATCAGGAGCCTGACGACAGGGACCGATGCAAAACGATTAGAGATCCCTTTCCAGTCGATCCTTTGCTCGCTCACTTCAATGAGAGTGAAAAGACTTGTTCCAGCAAGCTGCTCTTTTTCCAGCTGATTACCGGTAACATCAAAAACATATATATATTTTTTATTATTATTCATGAGCTTTGCTTCTTTTATTAAACTGATGGCCATGGCAGCGACAAACCCTCGTGGCACCCAGCATTGTTATACAAGCAGATTGTTTTGAACGTGTGAAATGGTCACCCCCTCCCCCCCCCCCCCGCCCCCCGCCCCCCCTTTCCAGGTGTGCATGTGTTTAGCACAACGTATTTAGGGTAACGAACCCCCTTTGGGGCTATAAATTGGGCCTCCCCTGGGGTTAACTGGCATTAGTAGGATGGATGGCTGGCAGCTGATGTCAGAAACAGCCGATATTTTCTCTCAAAACCTACTGATTCCATTTAACACGAGATTTTGAATTTATTTCTTTGAATTTACGGAACCAGATGTACGGCTGTACGACGGAAGAAAGCACGAAGCAGTACCAGTTGAGCGGACTCGGTGTGCTGCCAGTACAGGTTTTTCACATGCGAGTACACTTGCACGACACTCGAGGAAGAGTGGAATCTGTGCTTCGGCACGCTCGCATGAAAATAGAGAGCTCTATTTCTTGGAAGTACTGTCAAGGACGTAGTCTGTATTCCCCACGTTTCATGTGCATACCCCCATATGCACCGTATACCCTCCCTCGTAACAAGTGTGACTCTGTATCAGGAAAGGCGAGGGATTTCCAGCCCTAAGTCAGCCGGTCAGTCGGTCAGCCGGTGAACTCCCCTCGCCCCGCCGCGCTCCTCCAACCCTTGTTAAGCCGAGGCCGTTCTTCAAATTCAAATCAGGGGAATCAGTCTGACCAGCAGTTAGCGAACGAGCGATCATCTCCCCACACTCTCCATGGACCACGTCCGCTCCCCCCCCCCCCCCCCCCCCCCCCCCCCCCCCTATGGAGCCAATAATCATTACAGCCATCTACTACGATTGCTTGCCGCTCGTGAACGACATCAAACAGATCCAGACATAACTACATTTTGGGAATCTGGCCAACAGGCAGAGACATCTGTTGGCCACGAAAGGGCCGATAAAATCGAAAGGTTTTCGTTGCTTATTTTGGACTCGAATTCGGGTTCCCACAAGCTTTGAAGGCTGAGATTTTTGCAGTCTCGTGGTTGAGTGTATGCTGCGTTACAGAACGTTCAGAATACAATAGGATTGTGCATAACGTTATGTTTATTTTTTAATTCAAAATTGTGCTTAAATTTACAATTGCTATTCTTGCATGTGACGTTCTTCTTCCATATTCATTTCGCCTATAATTAATTGTCAGCAACCTTCAAACGATAATATATTAATATGAGCGTCATAATGAAGCGAAGGACATCCTTAGAGTCTCGTTTCGACGATGACAGCTTGTCACATTGTCGTTGACGATGACAGCTTGTCGTTGCCAGGCCCGAAAGCAGTGAAATCCCGAAAAGGAATGAAATTATTACCGTCACTTTACTCAGACACCAATTCAGTGTCCAGTAACTTGCGACTAGCTGAATTTACTTTCCTTAGCTTAAAAGACTCGCGATGGGAGCAAGTTACCGTTGGGAAGTTGGGTAGAACCCCAGGATGACTCGCAAACAGCACAATAAGAACTTTCCAATGCTCAGCATCAAGACGATATGAAAGTTTACTCGCGTAAGGAAGCATCTGATATCGCCAACCATTATTAGTCGTAATACAAGGAAAATGATTTACGTCGAGAGAGGCAGGGTTCTTGGGTTGATCGGAGACTTCATCGCCATCCTCGTTCATCGGTTCACTCGTACTGGGAACCGTAGTCGTACTCGTACCGGCTCTCGTAGTCGTATGGATTCGGATACTCAACTCCGTCGGCGGACTGATAACTGTCGCCGCCGCGATACGAATCGTAGTACTGAGGCTGGAAGTGATAGGGCTGGTAACTGCCGTAGTGACCGTAGGGGGAATGCGTGAGACTTCCTCCTCCACCATCCGCGTAATATTTATATTTCTGCATCTGCTTTTGTTGCTGCTCCTCTTCCTGTTGCAGATGCTGCTCGAGAATAGGCAACTGCTGAAAATATAGCTTTTGTTCTGACATTTTTTGTGGCTGTGGCTTTGGTTGCGGTTGTGGCATTGACGTTGGCTTTGGTTGTGGTTTTGGCGTTGGTTTTGGTTGTGGTTTTGGCGTTGGTTTTGGTTGTGGTTTTGGCTTTAGTTTTGGTTGTGGTCTTGGCGTTGGTTGTGACTGTGGTTTTAGCGTTGGTTGTGGTTGTGGGTGTGGTTTTAGCGTTGGTTGTGGTTGTGGGTGTGGTTTTGATTTTGGCTGTGGTTGTGGTTGTGGTAGCTTTTTCTGTTGCTGTCGAGGCTCCATTTGAGGCTTTTGTTGCATATTTTGTTGCCCTTTTAGCCGATCTGGTCGCAGTTGCTGCCCCAGATCCTGCTGTTCCCGTTCATCCTTTAGCGGTCGTGGTTGCGGTCGTCCAACAGACTGGGAAGCATTCTCTCCTGCCCCGCTCCCCTCCACTCCGCCATCATCACCCTCGGCGTTGTGGTTCGCAAAAAAGAATCCCTCCTCCCCGAGCACGTCCTCCAAGGGAGGCTCCGTCGTGCCTCCCTCAGAGTCCCCTCCTGTTCCCTTCGAAACCCCTCCAGTGCCCTGCACCCGGCTGGGCTGGAAGAATCCCCCGATTTCTGGCAGGAGACGTTGGACGTAGCCCGACGGGAAACCCACGACCATCGACCCTGACAAATTCCATCTTTCAGATTCTGATTTTCAGGCACCTGCTGCAGAACTGCAAAGGTGAAAGGAAAGTTTACCTGGGTCTCTGGAACCACTGGGGATCCCGAGGAACCTGTTTGAATCGAACGAATGAAATCAATTCTGAACTGAGCTGATTCTCACGCAAAACAGAAAATCCGAACGCGAATAATGAAACTGCTTGTATCGATTGGAATAGCTAACTTAGAGGTTTTCCATGAAATAATTCGAGAAACCAATAATGGTATATATAGAGAAGAAGTATATTTGGTATCAACGATTCCACGATGTGCTGCGTCTGACGTAAAGGACCGAAACCTGAAAAGAGAAAGTTACCGAAGAACGCGTGTCTCGCCCACGTTTTAGGCTTCAAGTTCCTTCTACTGACGTCACTCTTGGCTTAATCATATCGACTTGCGGGAAAACTCATCCGATAGCTCCTGTTTCACTCCTTCCCTCTATGGCTTACATGGCCGAGAATCCTCGACAGGAATAGCAAAGGTCCAATCTAGTAGCTAGCTCCTTTCGGAGACGCCATAAGCTGGGATAAAGCGAGATAATTTGGCGAATGAGAATTCTATTCTCATTCGCCAAATTATGGAACGAGACAACATGAACCATATCCCTCTTTTTGTTCACTCCGTTCAAATTTATTTTTACTCACACGCTCGCACACGAAACAAATTCATGACGAGAAGAAATCTTGACCATAAAAGGAGGCTCCATTTTAGCGTGGGCAATTGAAAATTGATAAATTATGCATACATGTTTGAGTTCCCATCGCACCTGCGACTTTCTTTCGCAAGGAAGATGACAATCGAAAATAGGTGATAAACTCAGGCAAGAAACTGATCCATTGGAACAGGGCATTCTCTGCCAAATAATCCCTCTTCTCGAAAGCGCGCCTCACTGATTTCAAGCTAATTCCTCATGCTGCCAAGCCAACAGAATTGCATTAGAGTCCTAAATGAGGAAACTCACAGGATGGCGAGAATGGATGGGACCTTGAAGCACCACCGTTCCATGGTTCTTGCTCATCAAATAAAAATGTTCCCCGCTTTTCCCGGCGAGAGCGAGCGGGAAAGGAGAGAAGCGTGCGAAACTTCCGGATTCGATATGGGGATCCAGGAAAGTTTTGCCTCCGTGCCGAATCACGCCCGATTCGGCCCCCAGAGGAGCCCGGGCCCTCCAAAAGGAATAAAGTTTCTGATGAAGGCCCTATTTTACATGCATGGGGGGTCGGGGACGGAACTCGATACCCAAAGAGAGACGGAGTAGAGTCTCAATTAGGTCTCGCTGATCCCGTGTCATCAAACCTGGCTAAGAAATCTTCATTACGGGAACTTGATAGCCTTCACGCGTGTCTTCCTGCTTCTCGTGTCGCTTCCAATGGGATATACGATATTCCTACGAATAATTCTATAGAGCTCCTTCTAGGAAAAAGGGCTTCACGACCCTCGACATTACGTAATCGAGATGCAAAACGTCGGTTTAGCGCTTAGGCATCCATTATAATATAATAAATGAGACCCGGTCCCAACCGGAAGGAGTGGGGACATCGATCACGGATTAAAAGTTTTCTGCCGATTGAAGAATTTCAATCGGGCCGATTGAAATTCAAGGCCCGAGGAAGCGGGTTTTGTTTCCCCAGCAATACTTCACAGTGTCAGGAAGAAGAAAACCCGTGACGCGATGAAAGAGGACTGGCAAGACCCCCGAGGGGCCGTCCCTTTCTACGTACGAGGTGAGAAGAAGGGACTAATGCTGAAAAATCAGGGACCGTGACTGTATATAAAAATGACAAATGGCGAAATACACGCTTGGATGAAAAGCCCCTTTACCTTTGGACTCCATCTCCTCCAGGATGTCTCCATTACGGGACCAGATGTCCTTCGATACATCGGGAAAAGGCGAGGACAGCTGATGAAGGCATTAGACCCAGGCGTTTTCTTCATGAAAACCGAACATGACCCAATATGGGTCAGAGATCATCAGCACTCCCCCATTTCCAGCCCCGCAGATGCCGGTTATGGAGAAAGAGAGAGGATTTTTTCTCGTATTTATTTTTTCTTGGCCATGATCCACGGCGAGTGATGAATTTCCCAGTGGGAGTCAAATCGGACCCAGCCCATGAGGGTTTCAATTATTTGACCCCCACCAACGAAGACTTTTCCTCGTTAGAAAGTAAACACCTCCCATTGTTCTCCCATCAACGTCATACCGACGCGCTGGTTATCCTTCCGGATGGAAAAAAAAAATTCCTCGTATGCTTATATATTGCATGAAGGGAAAATATGACGAGCCATACGTAATGAATAAAAGCCATGATGAATAGAGACTCAATTCATTAGTGAAAGCACAATCCCCAGGGACTAATATTGACAAATTATGCGGCTCTTCCAATGCTTCTGGACCGCACTCTTCATTTTTCATGCCTTTTTCCCTCTCTCTCTCTCTCTCTCTCTCTCTCTTTCTTCCCCTACTTCTTTTCCTGTTACTCTCGTATGTTGAAAACCGTTCCGGAAACATCGAAATGTCGACAGCCAAGAGAGATACAAACATTCTCCCAACAGCTGGAAAACTCATTTAGGAAGTTTATTTACATACCAACTCCGAATCCGAAGTAAACAGGTGCCCCGTCTTCGTTATCGCGGTTTACTTTTCCTTCGGAATGAATCGTGGTACGAAATCGGGATAGAAATTTTTTATTATTATATCTTCATACCATCCTCGGCTATACACGGGGAAGACTATCTTCGTTTTTAATAATGCTCCGACTAAGCAATCACATATCTGTCGAAGGGGTAAATTGGACCGTGAAATCAGAAGGGAATCACAGTCTGATGAACGAAATCAAATGAGGGATTATGGAGAGATTAACGATTATCATTAAAATCGATGACTGGATGAACGGAGGTCCCCCTACAAATAGATCCGGCGTAATTCCGTGGGTCTCGTGATGTTCTTGCACTGGGGACATAATTTCTCCGAACCCTGAGATCAACGAACAAATTTTATTATAACTTTTACGAGCATTTATCTCATTTTGATGGAATTTTGCAATGACTTACGAGAGAGCGAAGCCAGCAGGTTTCGCAGTGCACGTGCCAGCAGGAAATGGAGACCAAGGGCTTCAAGTACGGATTCTGCGACAAACGATGAAGAAATTTGTAGGTTCATGGAAACTCTATGAGATCCGTGCGGAAATGTGCCTTGACGATCGATACCTTGCAGATGAAGCACTTGTCCAGCTGCTGAGAGTTGAACCCATCGGTGGGGCTTTCGGTCGAAGACCTGGTTTGCTCCTTCTCTGAAATCCCTCCCCCGCCTTCTTCCCCTTCTCTGCAATAATTACACGATAATAAAAAAATCAACGTGTATGCTTGTGAGGCAGGCACAAAAAAGCAGAACATTTTGGTAGTGCATCATGAGGAATTCCTCCGGCCGATTCCACAAAAGCTATACATCGCTGCATGATTTTCCTACGAGTATTCATTGCATAACGGAATTCAACACTTCTCGAACAGGTACAAGAACCAATTTTGTTTAGGTGTTTTTGCGACTAGTGCATTCTCACCGTCTCATTCTCATATAACCAGAGATAATGAGATGCTAAGTCACATCCAGGAGCACTTCTACTCCGTGCGTGCTAGCATACAATATTTGAGTCACGCGTGAAGATGACCATCCTCCCAGCCCTCCCTTCCCCTTGCCCCCCTCCCTCCACCTTGCCCCCCTCCCTCCCCCCTTATCCCAGGAGCGTATCAGATATTCTCACGGTTCATATCCCAATAGTATTTGCATTTATACGTTGCCGCGTTATCATTTCATAAACAATCTTTCTTGCGTTTGGTCTCAGATTGAAGGAAGCAGTGAAGTTTCATCGATTCAAGTCTTTCTCCTTCTTTCCTTGTTATCTCTGCATCAAACGATATTCTTATTCTTATGAGACGGAAGCAAAATGTTGAAATACCTGTGAAGTTCTTGGGCTCGGATGACATCTGCATCGGAATATTGCGGAGGTCCGAAAATGGAAGTGTCGTCCCCGTCCACAACCACATCTCCTTCATCTTCCTCTCCTATAACAAGGGCCAGTGGAAAAAAAGGAAAGAAAAAAGAAAATGAGAATTGAAACCCATTGTTCATAGATCCAGAAACAAAGATGGATTCGCAAAGGACAAACCTTTGGTAGATCTTAGGAATCCATGCCTGGTGATATAGGGATCGTCTTTCATTGTTTCTTGTCCTTCTTCCACCTGAAGAAAAATCACAAATTTATCAAAGTTAAAGATGAGACACTTTGATGAAATTTCGAATGAAATAGAAAAGAAAGAAGACCTTGTGGATAAGGGATCCATTGGGCAGTGGGAAATCTTCGTTGGACCGCCCTCGCCGATTTTTCAAACGCAGCCTCTGTTGACGGTTCGACCGCACTCGGTGATACGTCTTTAAAAAAAAAGAGGTTTACTTTAAATAAAGTAAAACTTTGTTCGAGTGAATGAAGAGCGGACGTTTCAAGTCGCCCCTGTCCATCACGCGTGTTGACTTTAGAGAAAGAAGGAAAGGAATCTGCGTTGTTCAGTCACGTCGACTGTATATGGCCCATCTTCATAACTCAGTCGAAGAGAGAGAACTGTAAAAGCTGCACTTTGGGCTGGGACAATGTTTGCTGTCCATGACGAAAGCATCCGTTACGGAACCCTTTGTTCCTCTGCACACGAAACCCCCCACGACCGAATCGGTCCAATAAAAAAGGAAATTAATAGATTCTTTACCTCCCAGCGGGAATCGTCGTCGAAGTGCCTCGAGGGGCTTTTCCGGCTGAACGGCGTGTCCATGAGTCTCTCCAGCTCGTGGGCCAAGTGAGTCGGCAGATCCGCTGTTGACACCATCTCCCCGCATGCGGGACAGTCCAGCATTCCACCCGCTCCGCTTCGAGGAGACCCTTCCGAACGAGAGAAACATAAATAAATTCGAGAAGCGGATTCCGCGACGGATACGGTACGCGACCGTCGAAAGTCTCGAGCGATTGTATATCATGAAAGGAAAAGAACGCCCGAGAAGCAGCAGGCGGCGGGAACCATTCCATCCCTCATCGATCGCCCCGGAGAGAAAAGTTCAAGAATGGTCATGTGTTCGATACTAAATCAAAGATGATGAAAGGGAGCGGTCCGACGATACGTCTTGTACCGACATCGCTGCGCGAAAATCTCGAGCGAAGACGTGGAAGAGAACCCCACCCACTGATGAAACGTGGGAGAGTTATTTTATAAGTAAATTTTATTTTGCTCCGTTTGTTTAATAGTAATAGCTGGTGAAAGCAGCCATTCATACGAATCAAAGCGAAGCGCCCTTTGATGAAATGCGCAATTAGGGTGGTGAGATGATATACATGGAGCCGCGCAGGAAAAGGATACTAAGTCGAAAATTGAGCTCTCTGTTCGTTTAGAAATTCAACGAATTCTTCAACATCGACAGTCGTTTGCTTCTTTCAAGATTATAGGTGCGATACAGCTAAAAATAAAGTCAAAAGTAGTTTAACAGAGTTTTCGGAGGAAACGAATTGTAGACTGGGCGAGACAAAAGTTTTACCTTTAGTAAATACCAAAAATACCTAAAAGTTGAGAATAAACAATTCAGGCGATTGCATTACCATGTTGAAAAAGACGTGCCACGAGGAATGACTTTGACCTCTCCTGCCCTGCAAAGGACATTAAGAGCAGACTAACTTCGATTTGTTTGTTGGTGTCTGCCGGAATTATTGTTGCCACAAGCCCAGAATCGAAAAAGGGTGGTAAAACGAAATCGTCTTTTTTCTCCGCAGCTCGAGGTTGTTCGACCTTGAAGGACTGATGCCTGGTTTCAGGGTCAAACCGAAATACTTGATGGAAACAGAAGGGGACTCGTCGTCCCCGCGATGACGTCACATCTTCAAGCCATAAACCTTGATTAGACCTGACCACGAAATGGCACCAATCCAACCCGTCTGCCTTCTGGTGAAGGAATGAGGCACCCGACGAGTTGCTCTCTGGGGCAATAGACACTCCTGACATCTTCAAGTAAGGCTCTCAGGTCTATAGCCTCATTCGATGCCCGTAGCATTCTTCGCGTGCTCGTAGAAGACTTCTGAAATCGGGGATTTGCGAATGCCAAAAGCCTTTCGACACAGGGTGAGTCGTACCTGATGCCTTTCACGGCTGAGTTATGCGAACCAGTTCTTCACTTTTTTTCTCCCGTAGAAAGGAGATTCCTCGAAGGATGCCTGCAGCCTGGCAAAGGGTTTTCCTTGGGACAGGCCTGATTGGAAACCATAGAAAGTCAGGGCTCTCAAGTATCATCCGGAGATATTAATTGCAACGAGAGGGTTCTTATTCGCCTTCAGAACTTCGAAAATCGCCGTTTTGCACCGGAAAAATGTCTGAGTGAACCTGTACATTCGATTGAATGGCCGGGGCTTTCAGCATGAACTATCTGCCACACGCACGCGACGTCGGGATTTTTTTATAAAGCCAGTGATCGATCACTGGATAGGATGGACTCGACTCGAAATGCGGTTCGGGAGGAGAGGGGGGAAGTAAATTGAGAACGGGAATTACACGCAGGGAATTATAATCCTGGGGAGAGGAGGGGAAGAGAAAACGGGAGGGACTAATAATTGATGATGTTAAAGGCGGGGGGACACAGGTGGTGTTAAGCGGGAATTAAGGCAACTGGGAAGGCATATGGGGGAGTAAAAAATGATCAAGACCATCATCACCATGCTAAGGCTAATGGTGGCACGACTGCGCTTGACAACCCGGTAATGGGTTATTTTGCGGCGGATCCCCTGCGACCGAAACTGCCTAATCATCATCGACGAGACACGATCTCTGAATCCGAAAAAATATCCTTTCATGTTGCCGGGAACCGACGGTGTAGGGTCGACTGCGTGACAAAGTCGACCGTGTCCCAGCATCAGCTGCGATCCCAATGAAAGGCCGCAGGTGTTCCCGGGATTCAAAGAAAAAAGGGAGGATGAACTCGCGAAAAGCCATATTAGCAACAATTTGACAAACAGGCCGAAAGAGAGAGAAAGAGAGAGATTCTCGGTCATATATCACGAGCAGTATCAATTGCCTGAAGGGTAGTTTTTTTCCTTTTATGGACCCCTGCCGAGACGGTTGGGGTCGTCCCTTCCCCTGTAAAGTAAAATAAAATAAAAGGTTCCAGGTGTGTCACTTCATCGGGTCTGTGTGTGTGACAAAGTGACACCCCTTCCGGTGCGAAGACGAGGCAGGAAGTCCCTTCTCCATTTCCTTTCAATTGTATACAATCCATGCCGTGGCTTCTATATGGGCGAAATCCATCGGGGGTTATTTGGGCCCCCAAAAATATTATTCCCCTTCTGCGTCCTCTTTTACCTTAAATTCCCTTTTGGACCTGTCAACGTCTCGTGACGTTTCTGAAGGATTTCCACCGAATCTTCATTCACGACTTCTGAAATCGTCTCGATCATATTTGTGCGCCTGTATTTTCCTTAAATTTAAAATTCAAATGTTGAGTGCTTCATCTGCTGTTGCAACGATCCACTTCAATTAATTCATAACCCCATCATTCGCTTGGATGACGTGTGATCAAAAAGCCACGAAAGGCCAATATTGGGGGGGGTGATATCTGACCTAAAGGGTTTCAGGAATAATCTGGTTAATGCATACACAAAAGGGATTACGGATCGAGACAGAGAAGGGGGCTATCCACACATAATGACAAGTCTTCCTCCACGGATGAACGGACTCCCCGCCGAAGATCTATCTCCCTAATGATCTTCGGTAATGAGAGATATTACATGGTAATGTCTGCACCAGGGGTAAATAAACGGTTTTCTGAACTCCCTCTCCCCCTCCTCCTTCTCCCGGTCCCCCACAGATGCACCAGGGGGTCTCCCCTGCATTATGTTATAAAGGGGGGGAACAGATTTTGAAAAGCCAATGCAACTCCAGTGGAGAGTGACTAAATATCCCTTTTATAGGTGATATCAATGGAGTTTCCCCCTCTCTCTTCCCCCTTGACTGCAGTAAACAGGGCATGAATTGAGCAGCAGCTTCTGGGCTTTATACCTACACCTGCCTTGACTTCCAGGCACACGAAAACCCATTCTTTTATGCAGTAAACCCGGCGATTCGTCTTGTGTTGTCGTCGGGGATTTCTAGCGTGGAAGAGAGAGAGAGAGGTCTTATCCCTTTCCGAGCAATAACCGTTTTTCTGTCCGGGATTTTATGATCCTTCGTGTCTTATGAAGGCTCTCCCTATATATCTCCCTATTTTGTGTTTGGAAAAAATTAATCCGTCATCACGGAGCTGGGCTCCGCATATTGGATGCTGTGAACAGAATCTGCAATGCCTTCATCTCTTTTCCTCCTACTCAAAATCCACTTCCCCTCCCCGGCTGGTATAGTGACTCGATCTACGAGAGTTCCAAGTTTCCTTTCCTCGGGTTAGAGAGTAAATGAGAGGAAGTGGGGGGCGGATCGGTTGACACATCCGGTGATGATGGTGTCTCGTCATGGAGAAGCCCCAAGTTGATTAAGGGCAAGATCCCGTTGAAGACTTTTCAATTGAGACGAATGAGAGGCCGAGGAGATTGGATGACCACAAGTGGCGAAAACTACTTTTTCCCCTCTTTCCCTCTTCTCGCGATACAACACTTGATCTCCTCTGTTTGCCTTCTTCTGGGTCATTAATCAATGCTAATCACGTCCTTGCGGGGAGCCCCTTTGGCCCAGTCTGGAGATTGAGAAGTCGAGGAATGAATAGTGGTCCTAAAAGGTATCGAGTGTCGATTACATTAAGATTTGACGGAAGCTTTTGTTTTGCTTAAAATACACAATATGTATAAAATGAAAATCCTATTTCGTCAGCCTGACATTGACGCGTTATCGTGATTCTAACTAAAGCATCAATTAATCCTGAAAAGCAACGAATGCGCAAATGCTTGATAGTAAAAAAAATCTTCAGCGTCATTCCAGTGCATTTTCATTGCGGCAGGCGAGCAGCAAAAGGAGGATCATCCAATACAGAAGACGGGAATCTCCCTAAATTAGAGATGCGTGAATGCCCGACATTAAAGTCGGAGGATCTGAAAAGCAGAGGAGAAATAAGAGGATGCTCCATATGAATGGGATCATATCGAGGGAAGGGGAAAAGGAGAAAAGAGGGGGGGCAATATGAAACAATCCATTTATCCCCGTAATCGGGACAAAGGGCTCGTGGCATGTTCCGGGCCAATTGCCTATCCTTTATACACATATATAATAAAAAAAGAAGAGAGACACAACAACAATCGTACTTCATCTCTGCCTACTCCACAATGCAGAGCCCTGATCCATATCCATGGAGAAAAGATTGGCCTGGCATCGCATTATGGCATGAAGGAGTGGAAAGGAAGGGGGGGGGGGAGAGGAAGAGATGAAAGAGGGACCGATATTGCATTCCAGGCATGACAAGCCTGGCAAGAGACAATCTTCCTTTGTACAACAGTTTCATCAGACACATTACAGAGGCTCTTACCCTGTGACCTGATAAATGTCCACCGATATAATATGGGATAGTTAATAAAATCTGGGGATCCTCGTTTTTTTTCCCTCCGCAATAGACCCCTGCGCCGTGATATTCCTCCCCCACGCAACATTTATTATGGACTCTTGTCGCCACCCCTCGATCAATCTGCGGTCCCCCTAGAAACGCAATTTTTCATACAAGACATGTGCAAAACGTCAGTTCCGTTTGACCCATCCATCTCTCCCCCCCCCCCCCCCCCCCCCCCCCTTGTGCAAAACGTCAGTTCCGTTTGACCCATCCATCTCCCCCCCCCCCCCCTCCCTTTCTTTGTACGCGACACGGAAGAGGCACCAGCAATTTAGAGTAGGTCCACAGAAGTCAATTAGACAGTCCGTAACAAGAGGCTGTTCGGTGCTTCCGCTGCTTGTAAAAACCCTCTCCTCGATTGTTCTCGGGCCTCACAAATCCATCTCCACAAAAAGATCAAGCTCTAAGACGTTCCCTCTGCTGTCGGCATGGAAAAATCCCTTCCTTCCTCGTGGCAGAGTGGCCATCACTCAAGCCCTCGATAAGGTCCATCCATCAAGGATTCCAGCTGAGACGAAGCCAGCTCCTTGTATATCTCACTACCTGTCTTCCTCTTCGGGATATCATTTCTCTCGGAGAATTAATTTTGATTTACGGTCCGCAAGGAGAGAAGCGCGCCATGAGTGACGAAATAGCGGCAGTAAAGACCGACATTTCCCTTGAATGGGGGCATACGTCAACGAGCGCTCAGAGGGCAACAATGTATTTTTTTTTTAAAGAAGGCATCCGAATGGATATAAAGTAGAAGGTAGTTGAGGCTCTCGGTGGGTGGGAAAAGGGGAAGGGAGCCCCCCCGCCCCGACGCATCCATTCTCCACTAATAACCAGATATGCTCCTGTTCGCCTCATAAATCCCTTATTTTTTTCCTATTCTTTTCCAAACGAGAGAGAGAGAGTTCCCTCCTCGAACCGAACCAGTTCACTTGCGTGAAACATGAACAAGATCCCTGTCCATATTTCACTCCCTCCGATCGGTCACAGTTCCCGCAAACGACCGGCGATTACAACCCCACGCTTTGACAGGACTGTGAATACCGCATTTAATTCGGGCGGGGGGGGGGGGTTCTCTTTTAACGACGCTGGATTTATGAGTCTAGGCAGAATGATACGCACTGCATGGGACATATAGGGCGAGGTGACATTTTTATGATGAGACGGCTTCAGCGATATTAGATCAGCCTGAACATCTGAGCGGAGAAAAATTCCATGATAATCTCCATCAAATCCACGGCCGGTGGAGGCGTAGACTTTTAATGAGTTTCTTTTCTTCATCCCCTGTGTGCCCCTCCGATATAAGCCATAATAATTCCAGTCGAGTAAATATTCCATGTTGGAGGCGTCTCCTCAAATTTGTCTCTTTTTTTGTTGATGGATATAGGAAAATCTATAAGAATACATGGCATATTTCAAGGATTTCGAGCAAGATACATATTCCCCTGTCGCTCAACAAAAATTTGCAAAAAAGACTGATCCAGGACTTGGCGTGTGTCATATTTTAGACTTTTTGTTGGAGTCTCGAGGATTGCTTTCTTCGGCAATTGAGAAATTCCCTATCGTGAGTTCCAAGCAAAGTCTATATGGTAGTGGTGCCCACCAACTTTTTCGGCTAGGGGGCCACATAACTCACTACCACAGCCATTGCGGGCCTTATTAGTCACTAGTATTGTTGGAGATTATTTTAAGGAAACCTAAGGGTATTGCCGGTTAGGGCCTCGCGGGCCACGGGTTGGGCACCATTGCTATATAGACTCGCGTGAATACATTCCATATTTTTTTTTTTTTACAAAATTGCATGAGTCGATCGCAAAAGTGGTGGAATGAAAATGAAATAAACAAATAAACTCGAACAAGAAATCTAGTTCATACCCACTCATGAAGCCCACGCCGCTAACCAATCGGAGTAAGACTTTCAGCGTTTCGTGTCTTTGTTACGTGGTGACACCTGCCACGTACGCGCGCAGAAAGAAGCACACGCACGATCACCGGCGTCCTTTGAGTCGGGGCCGGGCAAGTCTCGCGTCCACTCGAGTGACATTGTTCGTCGGGGATGAGTGATGGACTTCTTTCATGTCGCCAGGGATTTGTCGCACTTCGGCAATAAATAACTCTACTTGTCCATTATACTGGGTGGCCCAGAAAAAAAAAATCCCAATTCACATGCCGGGTGATATGCGAGGTATATCGGCAGGAATTTTGCAGAGCGTCGCATGCAATATGCGTAGATTTTTTCTGAAAAGTTCAGCGAAAATCATTGCTGAGAACCCAAGTGCCGATTTATCTTCCTTGAAATGTCAAATTCTGCGAAAATGCTAGTGTTCACACTGGATGCTTCCTCCTCTCCTCCTCACACGATGGGGCTTACTTTGAAATCGATTATATTTATTGGCGAAGTCTCGTAGGGATTTTCCATCCGCAGCCGCGCAAAGTTGGGAATATTTTGGACTCACCCCGTGACACGCCCAACATGTGCAGGCGGTTTACGAAAGATTCCAGTAAAACTGATCGTTCGAGCACGATCGTTCGAAGAGCGTTTTTCCCCTTGCACAATGTCGAATGACCGAGCGTCTGCGATTTAATCGGGTGAACTTCGATGGGCCAAGCTCCATCATCTGCGGAGGAAATTTATACGGTGACGCTTTCGTTAATTTAATATCGCGTGAGAGGAAAGCTGAAACTCGAATTCTGAACGACTAATTTAATTTAAGATTCCATGAAATCACCTACGCCAACCGTGTTGGATGTAACACCACGTAAAATTCCTGCCCGTATCTCATGGTATTCTTCTGTCTGCAAGCAAATAAAGTTGGGGCCCTTTTGGGTGGCCACCCGCTATTATAGTATACCATTGAGTTTAGAGACCGTGGCGGGGTGCATATAAAAAATGCGACTTAGTTCCAACCAGGACTGGGTAAAAAACTCACTGGTAAATTTGAGAATGTTTTGAAAAATGAAGCCATAAAAAATTAGATTGAAGCAAAGAAATATCGTGTTAACGTCTTAAGGAAATACTAAAAATCTATATTTAAATATATATTTAACTGCGAATAATGCACTTTATGGGTATTAATTGGCTGACTGGGAACATTAATACCACATTGATCCCTACATGTAGCGCAAAGCGATTCGCGATCCTGTCAAATACTGATACGTAATAGTATTTTTAGTAGTGACAGATTCCACTGGAGCTCAAAAAGATATGCGGTATAGTAATGAAAAAGTAACGTCATTGATGAAAAACTTGATGAAAAAATAATGAACGTTTAAAAAAGGTGCAATGAAAAATGCGACACATCGAAAAACCTTCCGTTACCCAAGCCTGGTTCCATCTGATAGTGTTCGATTGCGGACCAGGGCACACGGCCTTTCTGATCCGCTTGAGAGCGTGACGAAACTCGTGCAGATAAGTTACAATCCTGGCACTGCTATTACGCTTATCATCCTACTGGAAAAAGAAATTGAAAGCTCTTTACTTTGGTAGGTTAATCTCCAGCCCCCTTTCACCAAAATGACACAGATTAAGCGGTGTTACACCGGAAGAGATGTTCACTAGAAGGCTTAATCCAATTCAGCATTCCAGACCGCTCTGTAAAAAAAATATAAAGGAAGTTGAATCGTAGAGGAAAACTCACGGGATTTGGGCGTGAGGTCCTTGGCGACATCCGGCGAAGGATCCGATCGAGGAGAGGACAGCTCTTCCTTGAAGCCCTGAGGGGAATGGGTCTGACTGGGTTTGAAGCAGGATCTCCCGAAGGGTGGAGGTGGGAGGCCTCGAGCCAACGAGGAAAGGGGGGGTGCGAATGCAGAGGGCGAGAAGGCGGAAAAGGTGAAAGGGACGCTGGGGGTGGAGGTGGGCACCGTGAAAGCGGGGTGAAGCTGGGGTAAGAGATGAGAGGGAAAGGTGCAGGGGAATCCCTCCAGAGCCCGGAAGCCCAGTGGATTCCCGCCAGATAGCTGGATCCCGGACAAAAGCTCCTTTCCATCGCTGTTACCCTGTCGAACATGACAAAGAAAATCTCGAAATAAGAAAGAAGCATGCATTTCTCGGGCATTGTCCCGATGTGACAGGAATTTCGAGCACCGATTTGACCCTCATGATAGAAACATTCGAAGCTTACGATTCAAATCGAAGCGATTCGATAGGATTTTAGCAGGGCAGTCCCCCAAAAATTGTACCCGAGGGGTTAAGGGGCTCAAAGTCTGCCCAACATCGTCGAAACGTCTATGCGATATCAAATTCGCTCACATTCCCGAATTACTGCTGCCTCTGTCGGCGTTCACCGTTTCCCGGGCCTGTATTTCGTGTCATCGCGCTTTTCGTTACGTATTCAAATCCGTGAAACTTTAAGACAGCTTTTAATTTCAGGTTAGCATCAAATCGTTCTTCCAAATGGGTCTTCATACATATGACCATGTCTATGCGGGGTGTCGTTGATGAATTTGATAGATCCTAGGCTGGCGAAATTTGAGATAAGTTTGTGTACTGACTTCAGCGAAATGCGTAGGTCACGAACAACATATGGACTCAACGGTGAATTTAATCCATAAAATAGTGGAATATCTTACTACGTTCCGAACTCAACTCATAACAATGGTCTCATAGACTATATTGTGCAAATATCTCGATTTTATCCAAATGAAAACGCACTCTTAGGAACTCTACGATTTACCCCCAACAATCATCAACCATGCGACCGCACAGGAACCCAATAGCCAATTGATGAATTTCAACGACACATGCCAGATCCCAGCTGCCTTGAAAACCCTTGCTCGAGACCCAATGCTCAACCTTTTGAAGTAGACGTCATGTCATGGTGGTGGGGTTAAACAATTTAGAAAGCTTGCACATCTTCACATTTAGAACGAACTGGATTCACGAAAACACTTTTTTCGCATTGTTTCCTCCTAATTCATGATGTTCCTGACCTCTATGTTTTCAAGAAAATCTTTTCCTTGTGAAGGTACTGATTATGCGAAGATACTCAGGGCAGCCTTCCCAGCATACCGTCAAACACAATCCAGCCAACATGTGTAAATGAAGTCTCTCCTTCAACGCGTGATGGTTCCTCCAGGATTCCAACTTAAAATCCGGAGCCCCTTTTGAAAATTTCGATAAGAAAACTGGAAGAATGGGAAATCTCGACGTGCCAACAATCGTACCTGTGAAGCCGAAAAGACCCGCTGCATCCAGAGCGACTCTGGCAGCATGGGAGATGCACCGGAAGAATTGAACATCATGTCTCACGTACCCGTCTCCCCTGCACACAGACTGACACAGTTCCCCCACACACAGACACAGTGAACTGTATTCCACCCACTTACGAGGAGTGAGGTCGTGGAAGTATAAAGGAAGTCCTCCCCCACCGGAGTGAGTCTGCTCAATAGACCCCGTCGGGAATGAGGAGGAACTCCCCTCCCTCGCTCGCCAGCCAACGAGAGGCCAGGGGACGGGATCCCGTCCGCCAATCGCCTCTCTCCTCCGGAGAACCCCAGGTGGTAATAAACAAACCTAATGAGTCCACTTAAGCCGCACAGCAGGGGAAGTCCACACTCACTTCCATCATGGTCAAGTTTTTTTTTTCTGTTGCTTCGTTTTCCTTTTTTATTCTCGGCCTCTGTGTCGTAAGGCGTGTTTGCGTTTTGGGTTATGGGCAATCAGGCGGGGTTTACGGTCAAGCGAATCTTCACCGAGCTTGTTTGACTATGCGGCTCCGGGAACGTGACTTTCCATGCATACCGATACACCCCCTTTTATATTTGTGGGCAAACAGGAATGAAGACTAGCCATAATGAAGCGATCGAAGGCACACATACACTCGCGAGGAACCACGTCGGAAGCAGTTCCACTTCGAAAGAACCGCAGACGACGCTCGACTGGATTCCATGAAGCAGTTCTAACATATCCAATAATTTTCTGTCAGAAAGAGAGTGGGGGTCAATGAAGAATTGTCGTGGCAGGCGTCCATCCGTAGATGTTACACGAAAAGAGGGAAAAAGATCATGAAAACCAGCGATGAGAAATGGCCACCATTTCCTAGTCCCCACGAGAGAGACCTAATCTAATAAGCATTTGGACTGGCCGAGACCCATTAGGCCCGGGCAGAGGGCAACACACAAAAACATATTGAGGAATAAAACAAGATCAATGGAGACGAAAGGACGGAGATCGTAAATCTGAGTCTTTGGAGACCCCGGGCCAACACTCCATCGAGTTTTCTCCACTCTCGGCATGATCTTTCATCGAGACAAAACGCCAGCTGAGTATTTCTCTTCCCCCATGGAGTTTTTATCTGGGTCATTCCCCGATCTCGCATCGGAAACTGAGGAGACTAATGGTGCCTGGGGACTTCATTCGTAGCCGATTCGATTTGTTTCAGAGATATTTCGACAATCAAAAGAGGGGAACATTTTTTGGGCTATTCAATAAAGACTTTTTCCCCCCTTTGTAATGCTATAACAGGATTTGATGATATCTCTCCTCTTTTTTTTTTTTTTTTTTTTTTTTTTTAGCTTGATCGTGGTTGTGGCGCTGATGCGGCTCCTCGCAGGTTTTATTGATTTTAAAAGGTCTGAAAGTCTCCAAATCTGAAGCAGCAGAGCACTTAACAGCTGTCTGTCAGTACTTCCTTACCGAACTCATTATGCATGCAGTCACAGCAAATTAGGGACTTAAGTACCACCTCGGTACGTGTAACAGAAAATCTGTCTTCATGCTGAGGATCGGGAATTCGTAACGGAGAAGAATCTATTGTCATAAAAGCTCTGTTAGTTTTCATCTCATAGTTTCTCTTATTTTCGGGCACACCGACCGATGATACAATAATCGATCATGTAGGAGTCATCGTAGCGCCACCAAACGCTGCACAGTGGAAAACGATGGACCAAAAATAAAATTCTTCCATATACAGGCAAATGACCAAGCAGGTATATCCGTTATCATTACGTTGGTCCGATGCATTCACTTCGATGAGGGAAGCCAATCGTACTGGCCAATGGCACTCAGGTAATTATGGGTAATTGGGTAATTATGCCCCTCTTGCTACCTGTTGACGCCATGTGTCGGAAAGCGTTATGATTTCATCGACAGTTCGTCATCTGTCACGGTGCAAATATCGGTAGGGCAAGGTCGGCTCCTTCACGGTGTCGACATTTCAATGGCAGCCTGTGTATTTATTCCAGATGTAGAAGGGAAAAAAAAAATCCCTTTCAGATGTAAACACCCAGACAAAAGAAGGCGAAAAAAAAAAGTTAGAGAGAAAGATCGGCTTGGAGAGAACCAAGAGCTTATTCTCCGAGAGGGCATGAACCCAGACAGTGCATGACATTCAATCTACATCCGGAGGAAGAACCGACATTAACGTTGATTCGATGCAACGTGCCATTTGGAAAAGGGACTATATCGGTGTTGGCATGGAGAGAATATTGGAGAAAAGATGGAACGACAATTTTTTTTTTCTGGAAGCCTTTTTGTCGCATTGATATCACCGGATGCGAATTGATCGGAGCGGCAAGAATGTCGAACGTGATTTGGTAAAAAAAAAAAAAGTTCATTCTGCCGAATATGTTCCGTGCATCGTTCTCTTTGTCGCTAAGAAGTCGGTCGAAAGTTCGATTCTCTGCGTTGGAAAAACCCTTCGGAGTCGGGCATATGCTAGAGGGCATCTCTTCGTATTCTCGGACGGAGGGGATTTCCCATGTCTAAATGATTTCCATAATCGATATAAATTTCTATACGGTTTAGGCATAGCGGATTCTCCATGCAGCATGAAAATCGCGATAATTCCGAAGAACATCGTTCCCTCGGGGTGCTCAGGATCCGCAGACGACGCGGCTAGAGACAGTTTGCATCAAAGGAAATCGTTATGATCGAATTTCGCCACGATGGCGGAACCAGGTCGCGTTCAGGACTTTCCCGTGACGACAAATGCGACGAGACGTCGAAATCACTCGACTCGACACTTCTTGCAAGGTGTCGTTCTCGGAATTGTCGCGGGAGACCACGAAGCGGCAGGTGCGGCCAGGCGGTTTATTATGGCGTCGGGGGCATGGGGTCCGTTGCGGCGCGTTCGGCTCATCGTGTTCTGATGGTCGCATTTCGAACAAATAAATAAAAGTTTTTCAATTAGAACGATTTTCCATTTAAAAAAAAAGCTGTTTAGGAAATTATATTCCATCCCTCCAACTGGGATCATCGCCATGAGGAAATCGCACATGGGACAGCCTCTTCCGGAGTATTAATCCTTGATTATATGCGCGCGACGAAATAGCATGCGATATCAGCCGTTGCATCGAGGGCTTCGGCCTCCGTCATTTGCATTCAATGCCCTTGCAATAAATAAGTCAATGCGTTTTATGAACTGGAAATCTGCAACGAAAAAAATCACATCCAGATATCTCACGTTCCATTCCGAACCATGTCATGTTACGAATGATGTTTACGAATGCTTGCTTAAAAAATAACAAATCCAAAAGAGAAGGAAACAACCTCGACTTCCATTCTTCCGCTCCATTTAACGCGTAGGTAGACCTGTTTATGACGCGACTGGAAATTTTCCATTCGACTGACCGTCGGCGGCGATTGCACGATGCTTCGACTGAAGAAGGGAATGGAGGAGGAAACGACACTTACACACGCGATTGGGAGTGAAAAGAGACTTCTCTCTCCCTGGTCCCCCCCTTTTTTTTTCTCATACCGAAGAAAAACAGGATTAAGCGAGCCGTAGTATAATCCGGATTATGGAAGAAGTCGAGTCGCATGGAGTGAAAAGGGAGCCGCCGTGTCATTTGTCACTCATTGGCTCCGCATCCCCGCCACCCAAAAGGGGGGACTCAACTGACACCTTGTGCCCAGATGAAGAGTCTCACTGACTTCTCGAATAAAAGACTCGAGACAAGACCCGCAGGGACGTGACAAACATGGCCGCTCACGGAAACCTTTTTTTTTTTTCCTTCTTTTCAAATCCCGTAGGAAGTGGATCCGTTCCGCCTCGATGGGGGGCCTCGGCCCGGTAATCCCGCATCCGAGGAATCGCGGTGTCCAAAATAACAAGCTGTTCGATGCTCGGTCCTCTACGGTAGCCCTCCTTCCATTAAAGAGGGTCGTTATTGCGTCACCTCGTCGAACAAAATCCAAACGCGATCGGAATCTCGACCACCACAATATTTCCTCAACGTTCTTCGTTCATTTAAACACGAATGGGAAAGTATTGGAATTTAATAAGAGCGTTGACTTGGAAGTGCATTGGAGGGCGTCGCGGACGCACAAGGAAGAAGGCAGGAGAATGGAGGAGAATGGAGGAGAATGGAGGAGAATCTGTACCTTTCTGCGGGGACAGATGAAGTTGAAGATGGATGGAAGGGGGAAAGTAGTTTGGTACCGTGAAGGATGCGGGAGATGGAGAGAGGTTGAAAGGGGAAAGAGCGAGAGATCCCTGTCCAGCATCCATTTTCTCTCGGCTCAAACATCCGATGCTGGGAGATGACGAAACTTTATAGTTTGTTTTAGGCAAGAATTCTCCTCAAAATGAACGCGAATGTTGCCTCTTTGCGTCCACGTTTTATCAGATTTCATGGCATCTTAGATTCTCTATCAAGTTATCACCAGGCGACGAAAAGTGAATTAACGTGACGTAAAAACAGACAGAACTGTAAGAGAAAATACCCCTTAGTTGATTGTTTTAAATGAAATTTGACCCAGGATCCTGCAGCAAGAAGGGTGATTAGCCGCTCCCTCATCTTCAGAAGTAAAGGAGTTGGTTTTGCTCTCCCCCCCTCCCTCAAAGAAATTATCCACGTTTCCTTCTCCATTTGAAATATCAGATCCCGAAATAACTAATCTGCGCGTCTGTTCGTGTGTGTGTAAAATATCAATTTCTTGGCCTTCCAACACTTGGGAAATTCGAAAGGCGTCTCAAGTTTTGCTTCTATCAGCGGTTCTGGCGACGTTTCTTTATGATCGTCTAACGATGGTGAAGCTTTATTAGATATCGAAATACTCTATTTCCCGTTTCTGTACCGTTTCCTGTAAGTATTCGCGGCCAAATTACTAACAGCAGAATTTACTCAATGTAAATTGAGTGACTCAGACTTTTCATCCGATGAGAATTCTCATTCTTCTGGTCATCTTCACACGGAGAGCATGCTGTGTGAAGAAAATTCCACGATCTAAATTATTACGATTTATTCTCTGTGGAAATGTGAAGGAGAAAGGAAAACAACCTGGAAATAGGAGCTGAGCACAACAATCAAGAGGATTTGTGGACACATCGCGCCTGATCTGCGTCGCCAAGCGGTGGAGAATTTCTCGGTCTGCTTTTGAGAATGGTCCACCGACAAAACGATGGCTACATGAAACATGCAAAAAATCAACATAAAAATAGCAAACACACGGCGACTTTTTTCATTTATCACTTCATCACCAATAGTCACAATATAAGCAACTCCTCGGAGAAAGCTGTGACACCCTGTATATGTTACGCGAAATCTGTTTCATGCCATTAATTTGGCTCTCCACTCAAGCTGAATTCCTTATTTTTGATGCTTTTGATTTCTATCACGATTCACGTGTACCATGTGAATGTCCAAGATCATGCCATTGATTATCTGTTGTGTCAAAGTCTTGAGATCCGAGTAGATCCAAGAATCAACCGGTTTCAGTTCGTGTATGCTAAATGGTACAATCCGAACCTTTATTACTTAAAGTGAAGAACCGTTTTCGCTGCATTTGCTTATTAGTTACTGGTCGGAGTGACCGTGAGACCTAGGTCGTAGCGTGTTCTGCCCTGTCAAAGCCTGGAGATCATGGTGGCTCCAGGAATCAGTTTCAGCTCTTCCACGAAAATGGTTCTATAAAGGTTTCACTCTAGAACTAAATATTAATATTAATAATAATAATATTATTATTATTACTACTTTTTTTTTTTTTACAGTGCACACAGTTAGTACAGCATGGAACTTTCGTGGCTCGTCAGTGGAGACAGGTTAGGCCCAGCTAAACCAGCTTCAACTAACAAGGTGCCACTGCATCACTGACGTGCCGCCACAGGTGAACAGGTAATCCCTGATGCAGCGTCAGAATGTTATTCATCCTTGACAGCAACTGGATTCCATGGCTGTTCAGGGTATTCTTTTGAAACCAGGGAGGCGTGAGATCGAATCCAGGCTCTTTCCGGTGGAAAGACGACCCCATTCTGGGAATTAACTGGCTATCGCACACGCCACTGCGAGTCACG